GGTACTTTGTGAACAGAGAGGGTGAGGTTGTACAGGAGCACCCCAGAGAGTTTGACTTTGCATCCCAACCAGTCTTGATAACCTATTCAGACCAGGGGCCTTCAAATACAAGTGCATTGAACTTCCTCACCATGGGTGGGAAAAACATGTTGGTGCACACATGCTATGACAGCTTCCATCGCAGTTGGAATGATGTCAAGTTGAGTTGCAAAAGGGCATTGAACTTTCCTTGGAAGACAATGTTGCAAATGGTGGTGCTCTATAACCTGAACTACTCTCCTTTTGGTTCAGGTGCATTTTTCTTCAAGAAGCAAGACTTGCTGGAGGAGTTCCTGCAAACAAGGGGGCCTTCAGACCCACTCTTCCAGGATTACATACATCGCATATGCAAAGAGAGAAGAGTGGATGAACCCAGTTGTCCTGAAGAGGAGCTTGAGCTGTTTAAAGGTCTTGCATTTTTGAAGAATTTTCAAAGGAAAGGACCTTGCATAAAGCTTCTCAGATGGATGAGCTTCTTTGAGGTGGCCATGGAGTGGAGAGGTGGTCATTGGGCAACCAAGATGGTGCTAGAGTCAAAGCGGGATGCAAATGAGGAAGAACCTGACCCTTTGCCAGAGCCTGACCCAAATTCAAAGGCAGATGACTACAGAAAGACTTTGGCAGACCTCAGAAAAACTAGGGGAGCATGGAAGTTGGCTCCCCAAATGGTCACTCCAAGAAACATTGCAGTTGTTGACATGCTTCTCCTTTGCTGCAAGGCATGTTGGAAAGTGCGTGCTGAGAGGGCTAGGTCAGTTGTGACACCAATGCAGGTGATGGAGCTTTGTGTTTCTGCCAGTAGCTAAGTGTGGGTGGGCCTCTGAGCTGGAGCAAATGGTTGCTGCATCACTATGGAGCAAGGATGAGTTGTGGCACATGTACCCTGAGGAGCAAGACAATAGCCAAATGCTTGAAGAACATTGTGACCTATTTTCACAGCTGATGAACACCAGAGCAACCTCTTTGGCTTCAAGTTATTGTTTGCCACCCATGAGGTGGAATGGTGTTTTGAGTGTGGACCAGGAGCAAGCAAAGCAATGCAGAGCAAAGCTGTTGGAAGAGTGGGACTTGGTTCTCAGGATGGAAGCTGCCAACTTGGTGACTGCCAGGGGAGGCATCCCTTGCTTGAAAAAGATGTTCTGGAGGCTCAACACATTCAATAGAGTTTTGTACATGGCTCACAGGAGTGATGTTGCAAAAGGATTGGCATGCAGTAATGGGCAAGCTGCTGTTCTACACCTTACATTGTGCAAGGCAATTGGAGATTCAAGAGTTGTGGAGGTTGCTCACCAAACAGGGCCTGATTTGATGAGGGATGGAAGGCACAACAGTGTGCCAAATACATCCATCTACTTTGGAACTTTGCAGCCTGGTGCGCTTGAGCAAAGGGGCATGAATTGCCTCCATGTGGATGCACAAGAGCTGGTGTTCCAAGAGAAGAATTGGAGGAATGTGCAGGTGAAGCACAGTATGAATCCCAGGAACCACAAACTTGACCAAGGCCTTCAGCAGATGATGAGGGGCAGAACTGGCAAAAATTGGTATCCATCACCTGCACCTGCAACCTTGTTCAGCACATTGGCTGCTACAGAGTGGATGTTTGCCTTTTTGAGGGGGGATCATGCTGGTGTAGCGCTGGAGGATGCTTGGTTCTCTTGCATTGCTGGCAGGCCTGGAGACATCATTGCTCATCATCCAACAGGAACCATCATGAAAGTGGTTGCTGCTGCAGAATATGGTGCTTTGGTGTGGAGGCTTGACACCACTACTGAGCCAGATGGAACTGCAACTTTTCTGATGAGACCCAACAGGGCATTCTTGGAGTGGAGGCACATCACTGTCCTCAAAGAATGGGTGCATGTGCCAACTGAAGCTATCTTGCATCCTCAGGGCAGGATTGTGTGGAAAAAAGTTGACCAGGCACTGCCCTTGCCTTTGGCTTATTGCCTGCAAGGCAACTCCATGTTGACTGCTGCACAGATCAAGCACTTGATCAGAAAGTTGGGAATCCCACAGACTTCTGCAACCACCAAGGCTGCTGTACAACAGTATTTGTTGGAAGCCTTGTTGGGTGACAAAGACCAGCAACAGAAAGCATTCATGCTGTTTGAGAAGAATGTTGGCAAACATGACCAGCCTTTGGACAGTGATTTGGAGGATGTGATCAGTTGCTTGGATGAAGATGATGCAAATGCCCTTGACTTGAAAGAGCTCAAGGCCAAGAAAAGGCAGAAGAAGTTGTTGTTGAAAAGAAGGGGTGCAGAGCAGGATGGTTCAAAGCCTGTCCCTGGCCAAAGGGGCAGGGGCAGGGGAAGGGGCAGAGGGAAGGGCAGGGGCAAAGGAAGAGGAAGGGCAGCGAAGAAAATCTTTGTCAAGATGAAGCCAAGGCCAAGGGCCAAGACAGGTGGTCCTCCAATGCCACCTGACCCACCCATGGCACCCAGTTCCAACCCTGACCCACCCACGGCACCCAGTTCCAACCCTGACCCACCCATGGCACCCAGTTCGAAGCCTGATGAGGAGAAAGCTGAGCCACCAGCCACTGGGGGTTCAGCTGAGCCACCAGCCACTGGGGCCACCAGCCCATGCCAAGCAGAAAGCTGAAGCACCAGAGTCAGAGAGAGTACCAGGGCCTTCACCATTTTCAAACCCTGGTGAGCCTGCCTCTTCTTCCAAAGCTCCATTCTCAAACCCTGGTGGTCCTTCCTCTTCTTCCAAAGCTGAGGCAGTGGCTGAGGCTGCTTCAGTGGCTGAGGCTGCTTCAGCACCTGACACTTCCCAAGGGGGTGTAGCAGCACCAGGCACACCCAGGCCAAAGATTTACAAGACCCCTGCAGCAATATTGAACAGAATCACACCACCTGGCTGCAAAATGGTACTCAACTTCAATGAGTGGAGGTTTACATGCAATTGGAGCGCTCCCCAAAACTTGGCTCCAGAAGACATGCAGTGGAAATCCTTCAGTAGAAGTTTTGTTTCCAGAGGGTGGGTAGAGGCATTGACTGAGTGCCATGAAGCAATGTGGAACAAATGGCAGTGGTTGGCAAATGAGCTGCCCTTACCAGCTGGAATGAAGCCCCAGGATGCAGGGGCAGTGCCTCAAGATGTGATTCAAGACATGACTCCAATACTGGAGAAATTCCCACCAGTCAAGCCAAGAAAGAAAAGTGGAAAGTGAGAACTCCAGATGTTTACCATCACTGGATTGATTGCCTTAGGCAATGCAGCTCCAGGTTTTCAAGCAAAACAGTGAGCGCTTGCTTGTTTTTTGTTTTGCTGTGTGGCACTTGTCAGTTTTGCTGTGTGGCACTTGTGAGCTTTTTTTCTGTGTGGCACTTGTGCCTTTGCTTGTGCTTTTAGCCTGTGCCAGGACACCTATGAAAGTGTGGCTGAGTGATCTTGTTTCACTGGATCACTGGAGCACCTGACAATTCCCTGAGACAAAATAAGCTGAAATGAGCTCAGTTTCCATTTTTTCCGTAATGCTTCTCCAAGGGTTTCATTAGGCTTTGTGTGGGGGTGAGCTGGGTCTGGTGTGGGCCTGGCATGGGGCCTTGACCAATCAGAAACACCTAGAACAATAATCAGCCATAAGCCGCCCTATGATATATCGAATTATATCAGGGTTTTATTCATGTTAAATAGTAGAAGAATCATTTAGCTCCCCATAAGCAAAGCTGAGGGATCTTCGGCCATAGTACAGGCTTTGGAGCAGATCGGAGCAGGTTCCGGAGAAGGTTCTGGAGGACAGCAGATTTCAGAGCAGGTGACGGAGCAAGTTCCGGTCAACTTGGCAGATATGCTGATTTGCTGGTATGCCGACATTGTCGGTGTAAATCTGACATGTTGTCAACTGGTCAGGCAACCATGCTCGTGAGGTTTGCGTTGTCATGCCGCGTGGCATTCTAACAAATTCTACCATCTTGTCACTCTGCCATGCTAACCTGCTGCAAACAAACTGTCAGGCTGACGTGCTGGCTTTACTGAGGGGCCTTTGATGGGGGAGGAAAAGTGAAGGATCCGAACAACTACGGTTCAATGATGTTGCTTCCAACAAGCTGATGTTCTTCCAAAAACTCCTCTGGGCGTCACTGAAAGCACTTTTGTGTTAGCAAGGGGTTCGGTCATCCAACTCATTGCCGCATATTGGCACCAAAAGCTCTTCAAACTGCACCAGGCGCCAAGGACAGGTATGTATCATTGAATCCACATACAAAAGGTCCACGTCGAACTACAGATCGAAAGCCAGGCGACATTCAACACAGAGGACCCGTCGCCCAACCCGAGAGCCATGGTCAACTTGCGACGGCTGACCAACTCAAGTCCCACAAGCCAAACATCCCTTCCACGCAGAAAGTTTCTTTTCTGTAGTCGACAAAAAGAACCAAACTATGCTGCTCCCAGAAAAGCCACACTCTTCCGACCCCTACAAGACCAATTTGCTGTGCTCCCCCGAAGACAAACTCTTCCCCCGCAAAAAAAAGGGCTCTTTTGCTCTGTCCCGCGGAAAACACTGTTCTCGTCCCCTGACAAGAATCTCCTGTGTTCCCTGCAGGAACCACTGAAATGGGCTGAGCGCTCCTTAAAAATTTGAATTGCACTTCCCAATTCCCCCCACTCCGAAAACTTGAAATTTGTTCAAAAAGCAGGAAATTGAAGAGATAAAGACGGCCATCTACGGCTCGAAATTTACAAGCCGTGTTCACGCTGCTGTGAGAACTGTTCAATGGCTAGCTTGCCCCGCCATGCAACATAGAATTAGATGCGAGGAGTGTGTTCCCTTGATTGAACGACACCTTGACTGAGTTGCAGGAAGCGCTAGAATCTAAAGTGAAAAACTACGAAGAGACGAAGAGCTCCAGTGGCAGAGTTTCCAGCCTTTGGGTACTTAGCTACTTGTTGGATATCTTACTGGTAAATTTGCTGCATGAAGCCATTGAATCCCACCTGTTGTTGCACAGGTGATCCAGGGCGAAAGCCACAACTTTGTGCGAGCAGATGAGGCCGGACCACATTGGTTTTATTTTACCTCCAGTAAGGCAAACTGATCACCAAGCTAGTTACTGTTGATTGTTGCACACTTGCACCGGCTACTTATCCCCTTTTGACTCACCCCTCCTTGGCTTTTCACACTCTTCCTGAGGTGGAAGAAGGTTGGCGGATCTTCGAACCTTTGCTTCAAAGCTCTCGGCCTTGGATGTTCTGTTTGCTTTCTCAGAAGAAACAAGTAGCAAGGCCAGGAGCCCCTACTACCGTCCTTGTTCCTAGTAGTACGGCCAGGAGCCCCTAGTAACGTCCTTGCTCCTAGTAGCGATGCCAGGAGCCCCTAGTAGCTTCTTGCTCCTAGTAGGATACTATACTGCATGATTATGTGACGTCCTTTCTTCACTTTTGTTTTGTTCAGGGATGTTGTGGTTACGGCTGCAATACTGCGAACAATTGATGATTAGTCTATCAACGGCAGAACGAGATTGTGTTTAGGTATATGGATCCATTTGAGGAGTTTTCAAATCTTCGAGTGTATCAACTGGCTAGATTGGAACTGCGTATGTAGATGAGCACCCTTCCTCCAAGCGAGGCCAAAGGCAAAAAGTATGGTAACCTTGGACAAACTAAAAATCTGGATTCTAGCTTCAATTTTCATCTGGTTACCTGGTTTTGCTTCGAGTTATGTTCCATTTGTCCTGGTTCCTTCAGCAAATCCAAGATGACCAGCGACTTGTTCATGTTGGAGAGCTTCTGTACTTCAGGATACTTCAGGTGCTTTCGATCTACTTGGGGAACACTTTAGCAAGAGGTCCAGCATCAAACGTCTCTCCCCACGACCCCTCGGCTTTCGTCAATCCCTTCGCAATGCTTTCGCGGCTGCATTTTTGCTTTCGCCAACCCACATCACCCAAAAATCGCTGTCGCTAACTTCTTTCGCCAAATTACACCGAAGAAAGATATCAACAAAGAGGAATCATTACTAATTAATCTATATATATCTATATCCATTGCTTTCGCCATATATGCCGCGAACCTTTCGCCTGGTTATCAGGAATCTATAGGGCTTCAAAACAAAGGTTTAGATATCATGCCTTATACATCCTTATACTAAAAACCTCCTCCGCCAACCCTTTTTGGAAGTGGAATCCAGCAATCCTCAGGTCTTGAGACTCCCAGTGCACCACATCCATTTCCATACGTTGGGGATCCCAGAACGGCAATGATTCAGATGTTTGCATGATTTTGCTGTACGCATGAGTTGATGAAGTGTCCCCTTGTAGATGACTTTGGAATTGATCAACTGTGCGAAAGCGTGCGAAAGAACCCTTCCAGGCGTAACACAGAATGATACCAGATGACTAAGCCGCTGGCTGGCAGTGACGCCGGCGACGAATAGAGCTCCTCCAAGGCTCAAGGCACACGTGGCCCACCAGAGGCCGATGAGCTCATCAACGGCACAGGCTATAGGCAGAGGGCAGGGCAGGGCGCGGGGGAGGGAAAGTCAAATCAAAAAGAGGACGGAAGGAGGAAAAGTAGCACTTCGGACAATGCAAAAAGGTAGCGAAAAGCCTAGGGGTAGTTGAGTAGAGGTGTTTGTTGGAAGTTTTCATATGATGCTTCTGAGGTGGTCATGTCCGCCTCATATATCTCATAGTTTTGGTAGTGCCGGGTTGGTTTACAATATATATAAATCTATGTGTATATATATATATATATAATGGCGTGGTATGGGTGTGGTATGCATGTGAGGAAAGATAAGGTATCGCATGGTATGGTGTGTAGGGGCCTGTAGGGGCGCGTGTGTGTGTGTGTGTGTGTGTGTGTGTGTGTGTTTGTGTGTGTGGGTTTGTATGTATATATAGGTGTATATATATATATTGGATGTAATGTACTGTAATTTCATGTATCGTAATGTAACATAATGTAATGCAATGTAATGTAATGGTATGTATGTAATGTCATGTTATGTTATGTTATGTTACAGTATGTGTTGTTTTGTATATGTGAATGTATGTAGTAAATTTTATCAATTGCATTGTATTGTATTGCATGTTGAGAGCACACTTACTTACCCAAGACGCGCAGCTGTTTCCACGCGCGTGTCGCCTCTCAGATGGGTTTCGCGATACTGTGAGCCCATCTCTCAGATACCTTGCCCGCAATGGTCCTCGTCAACCGCCGCAACCGCAGACCCCTGTTTGCCGCGAGGCAGACCTTAGCCATACCATGCCATACCGGCCCAGATCTTGCCTTCAGGCCGTTCACTCTTGCGAAGTGGCCGGGTCAGCCTGCTTGCCGATTGCCTGCTGGCGAGGCTGAGATGGGTTTCCCAAGCGCCGAGTCCTCATCATAGTGGCACTCGAAGTCCTGGGAAACCCTCCAACTCCAGGCACCCTTCCCTGCCTCGGTTGGCTCGGCTCGATGTGGTCCAGTTGCACGAGCTGGCTTCCATCCTCAAGAGGACACGCCTTGCCGGTCTCCATCCGGCTCCGGAAGATGCATCTGTCGAACACTCGCTGGACTTCCGTGTGCAAGAGGGACCGAAACGGTTCCGAGCACCGTTTGGCTGAGGCAGTCCTCAACGGTCCTCTCGACCGCCTTGAGGCAGACCAGACACTGGTCGACCCTGCTCGAGCAAAGACGTTGTAGGTCTTATGACTGGACTTGTGACCCCCGACCGCTCCACTGTGCGCCATCTGGCACCAACTCATACCAACTCAACCCGTTTGATGCCACCATTCCAACCGGGATCACAACAGCCCACACTGGCCCACACCTGCTCGTCCCTATACCTAATATGGCCCTCGTGGCCGCGTCTAAGCTATTCCTCTAGCCACCTTGAGCCTAAAATTAGGTGCGAGGTGAAACACGCTCACAATGTATGCATGTATGCAATGTAATGCAATGTTGTGCATGTGTGTATGTGTGTTTGTATGCATGTATGTGTGTTTCTACTAGTACGGGGGTGTGCGTACACTGCAAGTGTCTATATTTTCGCGGTGCTGCCCCAGGCGCTACACCGCAACAGGAGTGCGGAATCTTTGGACGGACAAGCTTGGACGCAGACCAAAAGCACAGTCTTGCAGCAAAAGCTCCGACAGACTCATAAGGCCTGTTGAGAGTTTCTTGTGGGAGTTGGCAGTGAGACTTTTTGTTCAATATGGACAATGATAGAAGCCCGTTGCCTTTGGAAACGAGGACCGGACACAAACGCAATCGCATTTGCCAATGGCCATGCCACACACCTGAGGTCCAAGGTTTGGCACAAGACTTTCACCACTGAGAGGCAGGCCTCAGGAAGATCCTGTTCTTATTTTTGTTCTTGCTATTCCATGCGTTTTGACGCTTCAAGCTCGCATGATCATACCTTTGTCAGGCATCAAGAATATGCCGAGTTAAAAGATGCTCCAAGGTTGTCCCCTATACATTCCTGTGAACACTGCATCGATAGGTTCGATTGCAAGGCTCGTTTTGCCAAGATGAATGTGCCCAGTGTCAGCATTTGAAGCAGATGCCTCTCAACCCATTTGCATACGACGGGCAAAAGCAATTGCTTGCACAATCTTGCACATGCGTTTTCCAATCGTTTTCACCCGATCACAGGTCATTCATTGTTTCGTCCCTCAGGAAAAGTTGTGCAGCTCAGGATTCTTCTGGGGGGACCATCAATGGGGTGTTGCTTCTGGGGTCAAATTGACCATCAATCTGTGTTGCTTTCAAGGGGTGTTGCTTTCGAGTTCGAGGATGCGTCGGAGTTACGAACCCGAAAAAGCAGAGGACATGCACGTATAAAAAATGATTGGTTGCTGCTGATCTCGAGTAGAACCACGCTCGTACCACTTGGACCATCGGCCGGATTTTTAGTTGGGTGGCTCAGCGCCTAGAGTTCTGCACCACAGACAGCCTGGTTTGTGCAGCTGGTGGGATATCTCCATGATTTACATCGGCAAAACTGCATCGCCTTTCATGGCCAGGATCTTCTTCCGAATGGCCCCAATGGCCCCAGAAACTCCGCTCAGCACCAGTGTAGGTCCTTCTCAAACGACTGAACCACTAATTGAATGAAACTGTGGGTGAAGTTGATTTCAACAACTCCGGAAGTGATCTTGAGAATCGTCGTTTCTTGATGTATAGGGAGAACTTATCACTGCTCTAGATGTCTCATTGCATTCTTTGGGTTCATGAGGATTCCTGGTTCATGACTTAGACCTGAGGCCAAGCGATTCCACAACCAAATAAACCCAATCTTTGCGCTAGCATTCTTCTACCTTTCCGGCTCACGCCTTTCATAAATTATAAAGACCGTGGATGATCTTCGTCACTTCTTGTCACCCGTTCCGAAGCAGGTAGATCCCAGGTGGCCAGATCCAACTTGCCAAATACTCATTGACCACGAAGCCAACAAGGTTGCTGCAGTTCTTGCTAGGCTCCGCTACCAGTGTGACTCATTTTGAGTTCCTCCGCTGGCGCAGCAGCATTGCTTCCTTGGTTTCACATGATTGCCAAATGCCACCCTAATGCTTTCTTTTGCCCTCTGCCAGATGTGGTTTCCGGAGTTCCGTCAACCATATGCTGATGCAGCGGACGTTATCCCTTTCAGGAAAAGTGAGGTAAGGAATAAAGTGCTTTATGCCAATGGAAGATAGGAAGGGATGCCGAGGGAATGAGGAGAAGGGGAATAGATAAAGGAAGGGATATGAAGGAATGAGAGAAAAGGACGAAGAGAGACCCCCTGAACTGGGGTACAGGATCCAAAGGGTGCCCCGCCATGGAGCCGGGGACGACCTTGCGTGGCTTTCTGGTCGGCCTCACAGAGCGTGACCTGAGGTTGTTGGACGAGGCCAGATGGACATGCCACCGTTTGGCCACATTGCAAGGTCGTTCCCAGGATTGCTTTGAGGCGTTGAGAATTGAGATGATCAAGAAGCACGAGTATTTCGAGGCCAATTCATCGATACTTGAGGAATTGGCGAGGAGAACAGACAGCAGGTTTAATAAATATGTTTTATATTGATTTGAAATTGATAAATAATAATTAATCATTTAATTTTCTTTTATCAAAAATTACTTAATATAAATATATTAGGATAAATTTAGTTAATTGATACGAAATATATTTAATGGAATATAATATTTGAATTTTAAAAAAATGAAATTGAAAATTATATAAATAATGAATATAATAATTTTAATAGTATTTATTTGTTTTATTTGATATAAAAATATATGAATAATTTAATATATATTAAAATTATATATATATATAAAATATAAGTATTATTTTGGGTTAGATGGTCGCGTAAAATTTATATTATTTTAATTGTTTTGATGTTTTTTTTCTCTATTTGTTAGGTGAGGATTGATGGATTTTATGACGCGAATGTAGTGTGCATTTTTGGATTTTAATCGTAAGGATTCGATCGTAGCATACGTTTTTGGTTTTGAATCTAAAATCGATTGTTAGATAGAATGTTGCAAGAAAATATGTTAGATAATATGCTAAATAAT